GAAGCACCCAACTGCGTTAATTGTCCAGGGACCCGTGCCTTTGGCAGAGGTGATGTCATATACAAAGTCAATTGGAAAGGGCCCTGTTGGTTCCCATGGGTAGACTGGCATTCCTTCAGAGGGAAACCAGAGGCTGGGGTTGTGGTGGTTTCGTCAGAAAAGGACTGACCAGAAATGAGAACTGTAAAAGCATGGTTCTGCATGGACAAGTACAGAGAGCTATATACACATATAGGTAGTGTGCTGGAGAAGAAAAGGACACTTGGCCTGAAATGTGACATGTCTGGAGAGGTATCTAGGTTTTGTCATTCCTGCCTGGGTGACCTTGGGCAAGTTACTTAGCCTCTCTGGACCTCTGTTTAGTTCTTGTCATACAGAGGCCAAGAGTCATGCTTCCTTCATATGGCTTTTGTGAGAACGAAATGAGATGATGCCTGTGAAGCACCTTGTACAGCATCTGGCATAGTGATTATTATCATGAATGATTATTATTATTATTATCAGTGTTATTACTACACCTTCAAACAGAGAGGCTCAGGGTTCCTCTCTCTAATGCCCCACACAAAAGGAAAATAAAGTCAGACTTGGGCAAGGACAAAAAGGAATCTTCAAATCTGCCAGGAGCAGGCAGAAATCTGCTCCTGGCAGGGCCAGGGATTTATTTCTTAAGCCACGGCTGGCTCACATTAAATTGGCCTCATTACTTCATGTAGACTTCTAAAAGTATCTGTGATCCCATGGCTGCTGCTCTGCCTTCTTTCTGTCTCTTTATCTTGACCCTGTAGGGGACAGAGGAGTTAGCTGGCCTTGATCACGGATGTCAGTAGTCTAGGAGGGATGGGTGGAGTTCTTCAATGCCAACACACACACACACACACACACACACAGACAAACAAAGAGGGAGCAGAACCTCAGCTCTGTAGGGGATGCGCCATCTCTACGGGCAGAAGTGGAGTAGAAATTAAACTGATTATAAATCCAATGGCCACAGAATTATTTTTAACTGCCTGTACCTTGTGTCTCATCTCTGGAAATTACATTTGTGCAGAAACAGGGGAAGAATCTTGAGCTTTTAGGATGGGTCAGGGGATGAAAAATCTTGCTCAGGCTTTGGAGAGAGAAAAAAAATCATATCCAGAAGGGATAGGGCCACCTTACACAAATGCAGACTTTGACCTGGCCCTCAAAACATGAACCGTGACAAAGAGAGGTTAAAGAGGGCAAACATTTAGACTTAGTTATAGAGGCTTAAAACTCAGTAAGAATTCAAAGATAATCTATGAGGAATCTCCAATTAAGAGGCTGAAATTTTAACCCAAATATGACTTGGTTGGTCCCCCTTTTCCCTCCTGGCTTTGTTTTTCAAGATATGTGTATCTAGTGATGAATTTTTAGAAATAAAAATGTAACTTCAATTAAATTTTATATAATAATTGCAATTAAACAGAAAATTTAATGGACATAGAAATACAGGTAGTGAACTGACAGACAGATTTGAAGAAATAACTTACGATGCAGCACAGAAAGCATAGAGGTAGAAAATATAAATGAGAGACAAGGAAAGTAGGGTGAGAGTATCTAATATACATCTAATTGGACTTCCAGAAAAAGAGATTAGAGAGAAAATTTTCTGAATAGATAAAAGGAGCCTATCCTTGGATTCAGAAAGCCTAATGAATCCAAAGCAAAAATACCACTCTGGAAATATAGTGAAACTGTAGAACCCCAAAGACAAAGAGAAAATACTAAAAAAAAAGCCAAAAAAGATAAATTACCTACATAGGAATAACAACTAACCTGACAGTTTACTTCTCATAACAATGAAAATAAGAGAAAAAATGGATTTGTATTGCCAATGTGCTGAAAGAGAGTAATTGTCAATTAGGAATTCTATACTTAATGAAACTCTCTTTCAAGAATGAGGAAAAAATGAACACATTTTCAACCAAACCCAAACTAAGATATTTTCCATCAAGAGACCTTTGCCGTATGAAATTCTAAAGGATATACTTCAGGCAGAAAGCAACCCCAGATGGAAGGTCTGAGATGCAAGAAAGAATGATCAGTAAAACAAACCAGGAAATATGTGGGACAGATATTTAAATATTGACTAAATGAAATATTCATAATAATGTCTAATTTATGGGGTTTTAAAAGAGAACTAAAATACTAGAGAGAAAAGCATTTATGTTGGGATATGGTAAATTGAGCTAAAGTTTTCTAAGGTTCTTGTATTTTTCTGAAGAAATATAAAGATATTGATTAATTTTTTACTTTGTTAAGCATACATGTTAAATTTTCTTGAGTAATCACAAAAAGTATAAAAGTAAAGTACAATTCCAAAGTAAACTTCTAAAATAAAGGGAAAAAATAAGGGAGAAAAGAAATGAAAAAAAGTAGAAAAGTGGGTAAAGGAGAAATTTCAAAATAAGATGGTAGAAATAAATCCAAATATATCAGTAATAACAATAAATTAAATGTACGACATTATCCAGTTAAAAGATAGTTTTTTCAGACTGGATAAAATAACAAACCCATCTATATTTTATTACAAAGGACATACCTAAAACATAATGATACAGAGAAGTTAAAAGTGGTAAAAGGATTGGGGGAAATGTACTAGGCAAATACTACCCTAAACAAACCTAGTATAGCTATATTAACAGCAAATCAAATAGACCAAGGCAAAAGGCATTGTTAAAGATAAAGAAAGCTACTACATAATGATAAAAGACTTAATTTACCATGAAGATATAACAATTATAAACTTATATATACCTAATAACACCACCTTAAATGTCTATACGTGAAAGGAAAAAAAATCAAGATGCTATGTATATAAAAAGAAATAAGAAAAAGGCCAATGAAATAAATGCAAAGAAAATAGAAATAATGAATAATAAAGATAATAGCAGTCACATATGAAATAGAAAACAAATATACAATAGACAGCATCAACAGAATCAAAAGTTGATGCATTAAAAATATTAATAACTCTCCGGCAAGGTTGAGCAACAGAAAAAAAAAAAAAAACGCAACGTTAAGAATAAGAAAAAGTGCAAATCTACAGAATATGCAGAGATTATAAAGATATTAAGAAAATACTACAAATAAAATGAACATTTTCCTAGAAAGATAGAGTTTGCCAAAAAGAAAAATTTCAAGAAAAATTAAAACTTTGAATATTTCTTTAAGGGGGAGGGAAGAGGGTGAAAGGGATAATTCGGCACATGTGTGTGGTGAGGTGTTGTAATTAGTATTTGGGTGGTGAACATGATGTAATCTATGCAGAAATAGAAGTATAATGATGTACACCTGAAATTCATACAATGTTATAAACCAATGTTACTGCAATAAACAAAAAATTAAAAATAAATAAATAAACACATACTCTCAAAAAAAAAAAGATCCAGTAGTAAATAAAAATTGCCCTTTTAAAAACTTCAGGGGGCCAGCCTGGTGGCATAGCGGTTAAGTTCGCATACTCCACTTTGGTGGCCCAGGGTTCTTGGGTTCGGATCCCAGGCGTGGACCTACACACTGCTTATCAAGCCATGCTGTGGTGGCATCCCATATAGAGTAGAGGAAGGCAGGCGCGGATGTTAGCCCAGGGCCAATCTTCCTCAGCAAAAAAGAAGAGGATTGGCAACAGATGTTAGCTCAGGGCTAATCTTCCTCAAAACAAACTAAAAAGCAACATCAGGCAGGAGTTCAGAGTCAAGACGGTGACATAGGAAGATCCTGATATCATCTCCTCACATGAACACACTGAATCTACAGCTACATATGAAAAAATTTCATCTGAAAAAAAACCCTAAAAACTGGTGAAGCAACCCCTTTACATCAGGCAAAGGAGAAGGAAACCACAAAGAAGTGAGTAGGAAAGGCTGAGACAGGATCTCTCCATAAACTCCACCCCCAGTGTGGTAACCCACAATTGGGAAGGAAATCAAAAACCAGAGCTTATCCTTGAGGAAGCAAAGATTCATACCCAACTTTGGGCACTCCAACTATTAACACTGGAAGCTGAGAGATGAGCCATTAAAACATCTGGCTTTGAAGACCAAGGAAGCTTGTGGATACAAGACCTGCAGGACTGTGGCTAACTGAGAAATGGGCTCTTAAAAAGCTAGCCTGCAGATTCACCCGCCCCAGCCCCCAGAACACAAGCAGCCATTTGATAAGTGCCCATAACTTATGTGAGAGACTAATTTGCTAACTTTAAAGCTTTGGTCTGAGGGACAGAGGCCTGCTGGAATACTCTCTGGGGATGGAGGCTAGTGGGCACCATCTTTCTGCTATCCCTCTGCCTTGCTAAACTGGTGGGCACCATCTTTTTTGTATCTTTTCTTGTTCTGTTTTTCTTTTTTTTTTCCTTATTCTTTATTTTCTCTTTTTTGGAGAGTGCCATCTTTGTACTCCTCCTCTTCCTTGCTTCAGCCAGTGGGCACCATATTTGTGCTCTCCCTATGCCATGCTCCGGAGTGCCAATATCTCCAAGAGGGGAGCTTCTGTACACATCAAGTGCCCTGGTTTTTACATCTAGTGACCTTGTTTTTGTGACTGCCACCTAGGGGGCACTCTTGACTGCCTGGGTCTGGAAGCCAAGGGGACTAGCATTCCTGGGTACCCTGGAACTGTAACAATCAGTGACACAGTTCTTGGCTGACTGCCACTCCCAGAGCACTGCACAGTTGACAGACTGAAACCCATCTTCAGTCTTTCTGAGAAGGAGCCCCAGTTGCTTGTCCAGGATCTTTGGTCTGAGGGGCAGGCTTCTGGTTTGGCACACTTATAGGGGCCTATGGAGGTACTCTCAGGGAATGGAGGATGGTGGATGCCATCTTTGCACTCTCCATCTCCCTCATGCCAGCATTCTGGCTTCTTCCAGAAAGAAGATTATAACCTTGTCTGGCATCCTGACTTTTGCAGCTGCTGAAAGAATACACCTCTATATCACTTGGCTCTGGTCGCCAGTGGGGCTTATGATCATGGGTCCTACAGGATTGTAACCAATGAAAAACTGTTCTTAAACAGCTACAACCCCCAGGGTACAACAAAAGGCAACAGACTCTGGAGCTCAATCTTTCTGTGAAAGAACCCTATTAACTTATCATTATAGCTGCAGCCTGAGGAGGGCAGGCTTCTACAAAAAACACACATCTAAGGGCTGACTGTAAGCCTTTTGTGAGACCTTGGAGGGCAGGCACTATCTTCATGCACTCCCTCTCCCATGCTCCAGAGTGCCAGAATCTCTCAGAGGGGAGCTGTTATACATGTCTGGTGCCCTAGTTTTTGTGACTGCAGCAAAGGGGGTACCCCTTGATTACCTGGCTCTGGTGACCAAGGGGTCTTGCATTCCTGGGTCCCACAGGACTGCAATAATTGGAGAGACACTTTGTGGCAGGTTACCACCTCCAGGGCACTGCACAGAGAGCAGATTGAAACACATCCTCAGCCTTTGTGCGAAAGAGGTCTATTTGATTGATCTGGAGCTTCAGCCTTAGGGGAAGGCTTCAGGATTGACACACATCTAGAGGCTACAGAGATGCCCTCAGGGAATGTAGGCCAGGGAATGCCATCTTTGTGCTCTCCCCCTGCCTCACTACAGCTCACTGGTATCTCCCAGAAAGGAACTTATGCACTCGTCTGGAGCCCTGAGTTTTGCAACTGCCACCCAGGGGACACCTTAAGATCACCTGACTCTGGTGGCCATTGGGACTTATGCTTGTGGTCCCACAGCACTGTATATATTTATGTTCCTTAAAAGCTGCTGCTTGAGGGTTGGGCTTTCAATCACTCTGAATATAGGCGCTGACTGAGATCTTTCCTTTTGGAACACTGACTGGTCTTGGCACACCCTCAATTACTAGGAGCTATTAAAAATAAAATAGGCTGCTTGGACAATCACAAAGGTTTGAGAAGCAACCAAGAGCTTAGGGCAAGTTTGAACAATGAGGTTCATCTCCTACACAAAGCAAATCCTTCACAACTGGGAGAGGTGGCTGTATCATCTAATGCATAGAAACCAACACAGAGAGTCAAGCAAAATGAAGAAACAAATAAATACGTTCCAAATAAAAGAACAAGATAAAACCTCAGAGAAAAATTATAATGAAATGGAGATAAGTAATTTATGTGATAAAGACTTCAAAGTAATAGTCATAGAAATGCTCACTGAACTTGGGAGAATAATGGAGGAACACACTGAGAACTTCAACTAAGAGATAGAAAATACTAAACAGAGGTTACAGAGTTGAAGAATACAATAACTGAAATAAAAAATATACTAGAGGGGTTCAATAGGAGACTAGAAGAAGTAAAAGAAAGGATAGTGAACTTGAAGACATGGCAGATGAGCTCACTCATCAGAGCAGCAAAAAGAAAAAAAGAATTAAAAACAGTGGAGATAGCTTAACTTATGGGACAATAGTAAGTGGACTAATATTTGCATTATAGGAGTCCCAGAAATAGAAACAATAGAGAAATTGTCATAAAACTTATTTGAAGAAATGATGACTGAAAACTTCTCTAACTTGGGGAGGGAAACAGACAACCAGATCCAAGAAGCACAGAGAGTTACAAATAAGATAAACCGAAAGAGAGCAGCACCAAGACACATTATAATTAAAATGTCAAAAGTTAAAGACAAGGAGAGAATCTTAAAAGCAGCAAGAGAATAAACTTGTTATATACAAAGAAATCCCCATAAGTCTATCAGCTGAAACTTTGCAGGCCAGAAAGGAGTGGCATGATATATTCAAAGTGCTGAAAGAGAAAAAACTTACAACCAAGACTACTCTACCTGGCAAAGTTATCATTCAGAATTGAAAGACAGAGTTTTCCAGACAAGTAAAAGTTAACGAAGTTCATCACAACTAAATCAACCTTACAAGAAATATTAAAGGTACTTTTTTAAGCTAAAAAGAAAGGGTGATAATTAGTAACAAGAAAACATATGAAAGTATAAACCATACTTGTAAAGATAAACGTTTAGTAAAGATTAATAAAGAGTAGTAACTTACAAAGCCAGTATGAAGTTTAAAAGACAGAACTAGTAAAAATAACTGTAACTACAATAATTATTTAAGGGATACACAAGATAAAAAGATGTAAAATGTGACATCAAAAACATAAATGTGGTGGGTAGAGTAAAAAGTGAAGAGCTTTAGAATGTGTTCAAAATTAGTTGTTATCAACTTAAAATACACTGTGATAAAGATAAGTATTTATGCACCTAATATAGGAGCACCTAAATATAGAAAATAAATATAAACACATTTAAAGATAGAAATAGACAGAAATACAATAATAGTAGGGGACTTTAACACTCCACTAACACCAACAGATAGATCATCCAAACAGAAGATCAATAAGGAAACATTGGCCTTAAATGACATGTTAGACCAGAAGGACTTAACAGATATATACAGAACATTCCATCCCAAAGCATCAGAATACATATTCTTCTCAAATACACATGGAACAGTCTCCAATACAAATCATATGTGAGGATATCAAACAAATCTTAATAAATTTAAGATGGTTGAAATCATATAAAGCATCATTTCCAACCACAATGGTAAGAAACTAGAATTTAATTACAAGAAAACTGGAAAATTCACAAATAGTTGATCAAACAACATGCTACTGAAAAACCAATAGGTAAATAAAGAAATAAAAAAATACCTTGAGACAAATGAAAATGGAACTACAACATACCAAAATTACGGAATTTAGCAAAAGCAATTCTAAGAGGGAAATTCATAATGATAAATGCCTACCTCAAGAAACAAGAAAAATCTCAAATATACAACCTAGTTATACACCTCAAAGAAATAGAAAAAGAAGAACAGACAAAGCTCAAAGCTAGTAGAAGGAAGAAAATAACAAAGGTCAGAGCAGAAGTAAATGTTACAGAGGCTAAAAAGACAACATAAAAGATCAATGAAACCAAGAGCTGGTTATTTGAAAAGATAAATAAAACTGTTAAACCTTTAGCTAGTCTCACCAAGAAATGAAGAGGACTCAAATGAATAAAATCTGAAATGAAAGAGAAGACATTACAACTGATACCACAGAAATACAAAGGATCATAAGTGACTACTATGGACCATTATACTCCAACAAATTGGGCAACCTAGAAGAAGTGGATAAATTCCTATAAACATACAACCTTCCAAGACTGAATCACGAAGAAACAGAAAATTGGAATAGACTGATTACTAGTAAAGAGATGAATCAGTAATCAAAAACCTCTCAAAAAACAAAAGTCCAGGAACAGACATCTTCATTGGTGAATTCTACCAAATATTTAAAGAAGAATTAATGCCATCCTTCTCAACTATTCCAAAAACTAGAAGCTGAAGGAACACTTCCAAACTCATTTTGTGAGAATAGCAATATCCTGATACCAAAACCACACAAGGACACCACAAGAAAAGAAAATTACAGGCCAATATTCCTGATGAAAATAGATGCAAAAATCCTCAACAAAATATTAGCAAACAATTCAACAATACATTAAAAAGATCATATACCAAGTGGGATTTAGTCCAAGAATGCAAGGATGATGCAACATCTACAAATCAATCAATGTGAAGTCACACGTTAAAATAATGAAGGATAAAAATTGTATGATTATCTTAATAGATGCAGAAAAATATTTTGAATAAATTCAACATTCATTTATAATAAAAACTCTCAACAAAGAGGATATAGAGGGAATATACCTCAACATAATAAAGGCCATATATGACAAGCCCACAGCTAACATCATACTCACTGGTGAAAAGCTGAAAGTTTTTCCTCTAAGGTCAAGAAGAAGACAAGGATGTCCACTCTTGCCACTTTTATTCAAAATATTATTGGAAGTCATAGCCAGAGCGATTAAGCAAGAAAAAGAAATAAAAGGGATCCAAATTAGAAAGGAAGAAGTAAAACAGTCACTATTTGCAGATGTCATGATATTATATATAGAAAACCCTAAAGACTCCATCAAAAAGCAATTAGAATTAATCAATGAATTCAGTAAAGTTGCAGGATACAAAATCAATATACAAAAATCCATTGCATGTCTACACACTAAAGCAAACTATCAAAAATAAAAATTCAGAGAACAATCCCATCTACAATTGCATCAAAAAGAATAAAATACCTTTTAATATATTTAATCAAGGAAGTCAATGATTTGTTTACTGGAAACTACAAGACATTGATGAAAGAAATTGAAGAAGACACAAATAAATGGAAAGATATTCTGTGTTCATGGATTAGAAGAATTCATATTGTTAAAAAGTTCACACTACCCAAAGTAATCTACAATCCCTATCAAAATTCCAAGGACATTTTTCACAGAAATAGAATAAACAATCCTAAAATGTGTATGGAACCACAGAAGATCCCAAATAGCCAAAGCAATCTTGAGAAAAAAGAACAAGCTGGAGGCATCATGCTTCCTGATTTAAAACTATATTACAAAGCTATAGTAATCAAAACAATATGGTATTGGCATAAAAATAGAGACATAGATCAATGGAACAGAATAGAGAGACCAGAAATAAACTCACACATATATGGTCAATTACTTTATGACAAAGGAGCAAAGAATATGTAATGACGAAAGAACAGTCTCTTCATTAAAAGGTGCTGGGAAAACTGGACAGTCATATGCAAAAGAGGGAAACTGGACCACTATCTTACAGCATACATAAAAATTAACTCAAAATGAATTAAAGACTTGAATATAAGATCTGAAACCATAAAAATCCTAGAAGAAAACATAGGTATTAAGTGCCTTGATATGAGTCTTGGCAATGATTTTTTAGATTTGACACCAAATGGAAAAGCAATGAAAACAAAAATAAACAAGTGGGAGTACATCAAACTAAAAGAGCTTCTGCATAGCAAAGAAAACCATCAACAAAATAAAAAGAAAATCTACTAAATGGGAGAAAATATTTGCAAATCATATATCTGATAAGGGGTTAATATCCAAAATATACAAGGAACTCATAAAATTCAATAACAAAAAACACAAACAATCCAATTAAAGAATGGACAGAGGATCTGAGTAGACAGTTTTCCAAAGAAGACACAAATGGCCAACAAGCACATGCAAAGATGCTCAACATCATTAATCATCAGTGAAATGGATATCAAAACCATAATGAGATATCACTTCACACCTGTTAGAATGACTATCAAAAAGACAAGAAATAACAAGTATTGGTGAGGATGTGAAAAAAAGTAAATCCTTGTGCACTGTTGGTGGGAATGTAAATGGGTGCAGCCACTACGAGAAACAGTATGAAAGTCCCTCAAAAAATAAAAAACAGAACTACCATATGATCCAGCAAATTTGCTTCTGGGTATTTTCCCAAAGAAAATAAAAACACGAAGTTGAAAAGATATATGAACCCCTATGTTCATTGCAGTATTATGCACAATAGCCAAGATATGGAAACAATTTAAATGTCCATCAATGGTTGAATGGATAAAGAAAATGTGGTGTGTATATATAGGAATATTATTCAGCTATAAAAAAGAATGAAATCTTGTCATTTGAGACAACATGAATGGACCTTGAGGGCATTATACTAAATGAAATATGTCAGACAGAGAAAGACAAATATTGTATGGTTTCAAATAGGTGTGGCATCTAAACACAAAACAAAAAACCTGAATTCACAGATACAGAGAACAAATTGGTGGTTGCCAGAGGGAGGGCATTGGGGGGGAGTGAAATTGGTGAATGGGATGAAACAGTACAAACTTCTAGTTATATTAAAAATAAGTCTCTGAGATGTAATGTACAGTATTGTGCTATAGTTACTAATACTGTATTGCATTTTCAAAAGTTGTTAAGAGAGTAAATCTTAAAAGTTCTCATCACAAGAAAAAAAGCAATTTTGTAACTATGTATGGTGATGAGTGTTAACTAGACTAATTGTGGTGATCATTTCACAGTATATACAAATATTGAATCATTATGTTTTATGCCTAAAATTAATATAATATTGTATGTAAATTTTACCCCAATTTAAAAAAAGAAACTGGTCTTACTGAGACTTATAACAAAATATAGAGATAACTCTCATGTATGATGTAATAATGAATCATCAATATTTTAGACATTTCAAAACAAAAAACATGGGAGAGAGAGGGTAAAAATGTGGAGCTTTTGTATGCATTCAAAGTTAAATTGTTATCAGTTTAAAATAGAATGTTTTAAATTTAAGATGTTTTACATAAGTCTCATGGTAACCACAAAGCAAGCACCTATAGTAGATACACAAAAGCTGAAAAGGAAAGAATCAAAACATACTACCACAGAAAATCATTAAATCACAAAGGAAAACTGCAAGTGAGATAAAAAGAAACCAAGGAATTACAAAACTAGCATAAATTAATGAACGAAATGGCAATCATATGTCCATACCTATCAATAATTAATTTAAATGTAATTGGACTAAATTCTCCAATAAAAAGACATAGAGTGACTGGATGGATTTAAAAATATGACCCAATTACATGCTGCCTGCAAGAGACTCACTTCAGCTTCAAGGACACACAGGCTCAAAGTGAAGGGATCAAAAAAGGTATTCCATGCAAATGGAACCCAAAAGATAAGAAGATAGATATACTAATATCAGGCACAGTAGACTTTAAGCCAAAAACTGTGACAAGAGACAAAAACAGTCATTATATAATGATCAAGATGTCAATTCATCAAGTGGTTATCAATTGTAAATACACACTCAATATCAGAGTAACTAAATACATAAAGCAAATACAATCATATGCTGCATAATGATGTTTCAGTCAACAATGGGCCACATATATGATGGTGGTCTCATAAGAATAATACCATATGGCCTAGGTGAGTAGGAGGCTACACCATCTAGGTTTGTATATGTACACTCTATAGTGTTTGCACAATTTAAAAAATCGCCTAACAAAGCATTTCTCACAATATATCCCTGTCATTAAGCAACACATGACAATATTAATAGATCTGAAGGGAAAAATAATATAATAATAGTAGGAAACTTCAATTACCCACTTTCAACAACGGATAGATCATCCAGACAGAAAATCAATAAGGAAACATTGGATTTAAACTACACGTTAGACCAGATGTACTTAACAGATATTTACAAAACATCCCATACAATAGCAGCAGAATACAAATTCTGCTTAAGTGCACAATAAACATTCTCCAGGATAGATCACATGTTAGGCCACAAAACAAGTCTTAATAAATTTAGAAAGATTGAAGTCATATCAAGCATCTTCTCTTAACAAAATGGTATGAAACTAGAAATCATTTACAAGAAAAAAACTAGAAAATTCACAAATATATGGAAATTAAATAACATGCACTGTTGGTGGGAATGTGAATTGTTGCAGCCACTATGTAAAACAGTATGGAGTTCCTCAGAAAATTAAAAATAGAAATACCATGTGATTTAGCAAACCCACTTCTGGGTATATATCCAAAAGAAATTAAAACAGGCTCTTGAAGAGATATCTGCTGTCTCATGTTCATTGCAGCATTATTTACAATAGCCAAGACATGGAAACACCTAAGAGTCCATCAACAGATAAATGGATAAATAAGATGTGGCATATATATATATACCGTGGAATATTATTCAGTCACAATAAAGAAGGAAATCCTGTCCTTTGCCACAGCATGGATGAACTTTGAGGAAATTATGCCATGTGATAATTAAGACAGACAGAGAAAGACAAATACAGTATGATATCACTTATATGTGGAATTAAAAAAA